AGAAAACCGAAAGTGGGGTCGAATGTTCTGATGGACTCTTCAGCTGGTCAGCATGCGATTGGATCAACCTATGCCTATCTCCGAGAAAAACGTTGTAGGTAGGTAACGTTTCCCACCTTCGCGATGACCGTCGCTGGTTCCCATTGCCAAGAATTTGCTTGATGAACCTTGGCATACACTAAATCGCCGTGCTCTGGAACCTCTTCTTAAATGCGCCGTGTTTCCTGTTGAATGTGTCGTTCTGCTTTTGTCTGTCTCTGGATGTGGTGGTGTGCTTGCTAGGCTGCAGCAGCGATGAGACGGTGCGTATCGACCTACCGAACATCATTTCAGCAGGGGATTTTCCGCCGAGATCGCTAGTTGGAGTTGAGCGATATACTTGCAGGAATGCTGGCAGCGCTTCCTCAAGCGTTTCTACTCCATCGGAACGAATTTTCCGAAGGCTTCTTTTCACGGTGTCCACAAATCTTTCAGCCAAACCGTTGGATTGTGGATGGTAAGGTGGGGTGCGGATGTGCCGAATACCGAGATTGGTGTAGAATACTTGGAGTGGTGGCTTTCGCTGTTGTCGATTTGGTTACGTGCACCTCAGGTCACTTGGAGTGTGGGTCGAGTACCACCAGAAAGTAGACTCCATTTACAGGTCCTGCGTAGTCGATGTGAATCCGGGACCAGGGTTTACTTGGAATGGGCCACGATTCTAGTGTCGTTTTCGTCGGAGCTTTACCAGCTGTGGAACATGGTGACGAATTCCTCGATCTCGTTATCCATACCGGGCCAGTATACAAAGCTTCTTGCAATTGCCTTCATACGAACCATTCCTGGATGACCACGGTGGACTTGTTGCAGGATCCTTCGTCGAAACATGTTGGGAACGACGACTCTATCGCCGAACATCACGCAGCCGTCGATTACACTGAGCGATTCTCGTCTGTTGTAGTAGGGTTGAACTTCAGCATCGAAGAGAGTTTTGTTGGGCCAACCAACGTCAATGGCGTGAACTAACGCAAGTCCTTCCTTTTCAGGTTGTCCATAATAACGTTCTGCGGGTGCAAGTGTCCTCGAAGCGTGTTGCACAACCTTCATGATGCCATCGGGAAACTGGTGAAAGATTACTGCACCGATGCCAGTGCTTGATGCGTCTGCTGCCACGATGCTCGGCAGCTTGGGGTCGTAGTGTGTCAACAACAAGTTTGATTGAAGAACTGGCTTGAACTTTTCGAAAGCTTGCTGACACTTGGATGTCCATTTCCACATCGTTTCTATTCTTGAGAAGCTTGTCCATGGGATAGCGCAATTCTTATAGGTTCCGCACGAATCTTCCGTAGAAGTTGACCGCGCCCAGAAACGATCGCAGCTTAGTGACGTTGGTTGGAGGTGGAATTGCAGTGATGGTTTTGATTTTCTCGGGGTCTGGACGGATATCTTGTCGGTCCACGATGTCTCCCAACTAGCGGATTTGTGACTGGAAGAAACTACACTTCTCTGCCTTGGCGTGGAATCCATACTCCTTGAGACGTAGGAAAAGCTGGTTGAGTGATGCAGTCACTCCATCAACCAGTCGTTGGAATGCTCCCGGTTCAGACTTCACCCCTGGAGCGAGGCGCCTGAACCGGAATAAACCCCGATGCGTATTGATGGTAAGCAGCTTTTTTGAATCGTCATCCACCTCGAGCTGCAAGTATGCATCGGAGAGGTCGATGATGCTGAATACGGAACTGCCATTGAGTTGGGCGAAAATTTCCTCCGGAGTGTAAAGCGGGTAGCGATTAGCTTCTAACGCCGCGTTGAGTCCTGTTGAATAGCACAGATACGAACCCGGCCGTTTGGTTTACGTACAGCCACGATTGGAGCAGCCCACTCAGAGAACTCGATAGGCTCGATGATATCCGATGATTCCAACCGTGTAATTTCAGCATCGACCAATGGAATTGTGATGAAAGGAACTGGCCGCTTGGGACAGAAAACAGGTTGAGCATTAGGTTTGAGGAGAAGCTTCGATGCCTTACTTACCAATCAGGCTAAGGCCTTGTTGTCCTCAGCTGTCCGAAGAAGTCGTCTCCACTCTACTCCGATCCATGGTCACAGTTCGCCAGCCTCGTAGTCTGCGAAGGGTCCGCAGGTCACCTTCTACTTGGTCGATCCACCTTGCCCGCTGCGCGCCTCTTCTTCTTGTTCCTGTTGGGTCGCTTTCTAGAACCATTTTCACTGGGTCGTCGTGCGGCATTCTTACGACGTGCCCAGCCCACCGTAGTCGCCCAATTTTTGCAATGTGGACGATGAATGGTTCTCCCAGCAGCTGGTACAATTCGTGGTTCATTCGCCTCCTCCACGTTCCGTCATCCATCTGCACTCCACCGTAGATGGTACGCAACACCTTCCGTTCGAAAACACCTCGAGCATAGTCCAGGTCTCGTGGCCGTAGAGGACCACCAGTCTAATCAGCGTCTTGTAGACAGTCAACTTCGTGCGGCGGCGAACTTTATTCGACCGGAGCGTCCTCCGGAGTCCAAAGTAGGGACGATTCCCTGCCATAATGCGTCTTTGAATTTCTCTGCTGGTATCATTTTCGGCGGTCACCAGTGAGCCCAAATACACGAACTCATCGACCACCTCGATTTCGTCACCGTCAATCTGAACTCGGAGTGGGAGGCTAAGATTGTCTTCCCTAGAACCTCTTCCTTTTTTTGTAGTCTTTGATGCGTTGATGGCAAGTCCAATCCGTCTAGCTTCAGCCTTCAGTCTGATGTACGTTTCGGCGAAGCCAAGGAGCTGGATGGACTTCCTGAAGATCGTGCCACTCGTGCCTAGCAGGTCAGATTAGCAGCCGTTGTGACGAAGCATCTTCCTTGTGCAGCTTTGCCGTTGATTGTCACTTCGCACTCGAACTCACCCATCAAATGGAGCGGCTTGCCTGACGCGTTCATTGCTTCAATGGTTGGTTTCTTGATTGCAGGTTTGCCCAGATAGTTCCAGGTTTGGTTCGTGATTACCGTGATGTCGCTCGCTGTGTCCAGTTGTAGCTTGGTTTCCACGCCGTTGATGAATGTTAGCACGAACTTTCGCTTGCTTGAGTGTTGAGCGATGTGATTGACGATGTATACGCCTCGGGATTTTGCCTTGTAGGATTTGCTTGGGCGATTTACCTTCCGTCTTCGAAGACTGCTGTTGTCGAGAGGTGGGAACTCTCTTCTCCTGAACTGCGTGCACCGTTGGTTTCGAGCTTGACTGACGCTCGATCATGGATGTGGTGTTTCAGCTTCGATCCGGTAGGGTACCCTGGCTCGTATGTCTGCATAGCAATGGCTTTTGAAACCAAGCATTTGAATTGGTCGATCTTCACGTTCTTGAAATCGAAATCCTCGCAAGCCGGGTTGACTTTGCCTCCGTAGCTGATGATGTCTTCTGCTTCAGATTTCACCAGCTGCAGGCACTGATATCGCTTGTTGAAGATGGAGGTTTGTGATCCGAAGATCTTCCTGAGGGTTTCGACTGTGTCAGCAAAATTGACGTCTTTTGGAAGCTTCGGCAGGATGTAGTTAGTGTACCAGGTGTGTGACGGTGTATCCAACTTCCTCAGCAGCAATCGGACCTTCGTGGCATCTTCCAGGCTCTTGGCATCCGAATCGACAAGATCCGCGTTCCGGTTGTACCACTTCTCGAAGGTGATTCCATTTTCCGAGTCGAACGAAAATTCGCCAATGCCTCGAGTGTTTGCTCCGGGTTGCTATGGACTTGATTGGGTTCCGCTAGCTTCTGTAAGAGCGTTGCCATCTGGAGAATTGCTTCCTGAAGTTCTGCCATCGCTTCTGGTTCTTGAATCCTCGTACGCCAAATTGATGTAGTTCCGGAATAGAAAGATAGCTCTTGATAAATACTGGAGATATTTCTTTATTCAAGGTCTAACGTATCATATTTCAATACTGGTCAATTGCACAAAAGGCAAGCAGTGTTGAATCGATAATACTTTGAACTTATGCTTATGGTACATGTGAATGTTCATTTCCAACCTTTCATTGACATTTTGCATTGTATGGAGCTAATTTGCTTCGAACTCAACGAACCCATTTATGCATTGCGTCCGTGAAATCGGTTTTTATTTGGTTGAAGTTCGTGCCTATAAATACAAATGTCTACGGCCAATTATTGACAATTATCGATGGACAAGAATCACGATTTTTTTTTCACCGAAGTGTCAGTCATGGCCATCTCTAGTAGAGAATACGTCAAACGTCAAGCCAACTCTACCTCTTTGGAATGATTTTCCCTTTTTTTTTAATAGCTAAACAACAAACGCAGCGAATGACGTCATCTGCCAGACCACGAAGAGACGCTCTCAACCGCGACCGCCAGGCATAGACTTCAATTCAATCAAACACATTAGACGCCATATCCAGAGGGAACCACCTCTCCGGTGCGATAAAAACATCAAAACGGGTAGCAACCTTGAAAAATCCATGTTCAAGCGCGGATTGGAATGGGACCAGAAATTTGGAATAAACAAGCGATTTTCGGTGGTGGTACCTACTTGAAAACAAGATCTACTATGGCACCAGAACAGAAGTTGGATCAGCTGCGCTAAATTTAGCGCCCGCAAAGCGGACGGATGCCGTTTGTTTGGAATTGTGTGTATTATTGCATGCTTTGTAGCTCAGTGCCAAGTGGAAGGCATCTGGCTATTTCTATTTTCTCCTCTTCCATCGACGACGGTGGTGCGCCCGGTCGTACGTCCCGTTGTCATGACCGATGTGATCATCTGATGGATCATGTAGGAGGATGTACCATGTGTGCGCTTCAAGGGAAACATCTTTTTGCGGAATCGATTCTCGATTAAAAAAAATTAATTGGAATCGTGGGGTTGTTTCCTCGACGGTTAATTGAAAGTAAATTATTCGATAACTTTTAGATCGTAAAAGTCAATTTATCACCTCATTGGCTCCGTAATGCGTGGTGTTCTTATGAAGCAATGTTAATTCCCCCCATTCTTTTCAAAATTCCAGGTCACCACAGTGGATATGCAGAAGCCGCCGCCCGATTTCCGCACCAACTTCGAAGCGACGCACCCGCCGATCCTGATCGACAACGGGCTGGCCATCCTGGAGAATGACAAAATCGAGCGACACATCATGAAGTCGGTGCCCGGCGGATACAATCTGTTTGTGCAGGTTAGTTTGTCTTAGAAGTTTAAGGTCCCACAAAATGAGATGTATAGGGACGACCGCTGATGTGAATTGGTGGATATAAGAAGCTTGTCTGGGTTGATTTTTGGAACTAGTTTCATTCGAGAAGGATTGGGACGACCGGCGAGGAAGCTTAGGTTAGGTTAACAGTTAACAACGATGTAAATCCCTTGTAGGTGAATTGAGATGACTTCCGGAATTAACAGTTTTTAAATTGAGCGGCAGGACGACCGTATAGGAAGCTAAGGTGGCTCGGTAGATTGAGATAGTTGTTAACACCTCCCAATCGAAACAATTCCGCTGTGACAAAACCATCAATATTCAAAATTTTAAAGCTTATCTCAAATCATTCAATCATAATGTAAGCCACATTTGTTCAAATCGATCAGATTTGCTTCTCTCTAATCATTAACGAATTAACGAACATAAACAAACAATCGAAGAGTCACGATTGAGCTTTAAGCATAATACTGTTTGGCAGCACTTGCTGTCAGCCGATGGCCATCACCGCATCACTCACTATAGACAGTTTGATTTCATCAACTGGACGGTGGATCGGGACGACCGCTGAAAAATTACCTTACATTATTGCGTCTCACCCATTGCAGGACAAAGAGGTGGCCACCCTGATCGAGAACCTGTACTCCAAGCTGAAGCTGATGCTGGTCAAGAAGGACGAAAACAAGAACAACGCCCTGCTGGCGCACCTGCGGAAAATCAACGACCACCTGGCGGCGAGGGGCACCCGCTTCCTAACCGGCGACACCATGTGCTGTTTCGACTGCGAGCTGATGCCCCGGCTGCAGCACATCCGCGTCGCCGGCAAGTACTTTGTCGACTTTGAGATACCAGTAAGTAGCAGTGGCGGGTGAACCATTTTGCGATAGTGATTAATCTTTTGTTTTGCGATTGTAGAAACACCTAACGGCTCTGTGGCGGTATATGTACCACATGTACCAGCTGGATGCCTTCACCCAGTCGTGTCCCGCCGATCAGGACATCATCAATCACTACAAGCTGCAGCAGGTGAGTGTCTGTTTCTGGTTGCCAGCACTTCCTGGGCATTCCTCAAGTGAATAACATTCAAGTTTAAGTTGCTCCATTGACATAATTCATAAGAACCACACACATACCAAGATCGCAGACAACCAGAATGCATGCGAAGCAGGGTTTGTTTCTGCGACGTACAAACATTGCATTAGGTACGATTAAATTATAAATTTCCTACGATTTATTGAAGACTTTACACGGATTAAACACTTTGTTATGTAGACTTCTGGTTGTCTGGACTTGGGACTCCTAACCCTAATTAATAGGGAAGGTTTTGTTAACTCGCCCTAACCACCGTGTTTTGATTTCTTTTTCTCGTTCATATATTTTTTTTCATTTATCGCTACCCACATTCATATACATCCAATCTCTTGTTTCGGGATCGAATCGGGCCTTCCCTGCGACACAATAACAAATAAACAAAATAGGCAAAAGGTGACATTAAGGTATGTCTGTGTGGCGCAAGGCCTGAACTGCATTCAGGCAGTGTAGTGTTTGACTGTACAAAGAGCTACTACTGGTGTGCTTTGACTGTCCTGTTTTTCCTCTGCACGGCCAATGAGGTTAACTCTCTCTGGGTTATTCTCAGTGGCCGTGTGCCTGCTGTCGTTTTCTCTTGACTCTTCTTCCCCTGTCGGTGTGTTGGGAGCTATTTTCTTGATTACGGAATAGGGAAATGTTAATTTTCGAGCTCTGCCTAGTGTTGCCAGTTTTCTTGGCATGCAATCAAGCCCGGCAACTGTGTCATAATTATTTAAAAGGTCGTATTTAGCGGTTGCCCTTGCGAAACAAAGTAACTACTAAGCCGTAGTGAATATGCCAAACAGCTTATTTCAAAATCGAGTGTTCAGAGTTTTAACAAAAAAATTGAATCACCTGCCAATGTATGCACAAAATGAGTCAAATCCTATTTACTTTACTTCTCCGGCCACCAATTCAAATCTGACAAATATTGACTATCTTTTCGTTCGCGCCGCAAGTAATTTTTCCCCAATCTTTGGCGGTCGGTTTTTTTTTTCTTCTTCCACCTTCCGGGCCAAATGTTTGTTTTTCATATATTCGGAAAGCCGGCGTGATGCGCAAACAGTACTCCCACCATTGCGAAGTTTTTCGAGAAATCGCATTGATTCTTTCAACGGCAGCTGGTCATCATTGCTGCGTACGTTGGTGCCTACTACGTATATTATCACGAGTAATGTTCTGCTTTGAGATGATGAGTCAATTAAATAAAAAAGGTTTATCTCAGTTTTGACAATCAACTTTTTATCGTTATTTACGGAGACACGATTTTCTAGGATTCACACTAGGGTAGATTTATGTACCAAAAAAAAAACATGCTCAATCTAGCGCAAATATTTTTGAACAACACATCTGGACATACCAACTTGACAAGATCAGGGCTGGTAGCGAATCACTTTTTAGCAAGTCACTAAAAAGTCTCAAAGTCACTAAAGTCACTTTTTCTTGTAATCAGTCACTATTTTAAACTTTTTTTTTAACGTGAATTTATTTCAAGATTGATCATTCTTCTTGCAGTAGTGTGTAGGATAGGCCTACATTTTGTCGAAGACATCATATCAACTTTGCCAGAATCCAGGCGACAGATACATTAGCGCTACACTTGAGTGAAGGTGGAAGCAACGCATAGAAAAAAAAATGAGCAAATACTCAAACTTTTCTTCTGAGAATGTAATCTTTGCTATCAAATTCGTTCGAAGCATTTACCTTTGCGCGGCAGATGACGCAATTGTAACTGCCTCATAGCGGTCGTACCAGAAAATAGAAGAGTTGCCAGTCTTCTTGATGTGTAGTCTTCGATTTTGTTCTAATTTTTGAACAATTCGAAGTTGACGACCTTGTAAGATCCCAACATTTTTAATGTCTTGAAGTTTCGTACTAGCAAAATTGTGGAAACTTTTAAGAAGTTCTATTTATCTCAGAAAAACTAGCAGGGCTGGTCGCGAGTCACTTTTTAGTGACTTGGTTACTTTTTTCAAGCCAGTCACTAAAAAGTTTCTTTTTTAAGGCCAATTCACTAAAGTCACTTTTTCTTGTAATCAGTCACTATTTTCAACTTTTCAACTTCAACTTTCAACAGTTTATTTCAAGATTGATCATTCTTTGCTTTGTGGCGTTTAATCGCCTTTCTCTATCTACAGGGTGTCTACTCATTTTCCTAAATAGAGTTACATGAGTTTTCCAGGTTTTTCCAGTACTTTAACGGATAAATTCCAGGTTTATAAAAAGGAAGCTATTTTTTAAATGCGTTAAAAATATGATTTTTTTTTGGCAGATCAAAAACAACAACAATTTACCCAAACTTTTTTAATACATGGAAATCAGTTTTAAAGAAACAGTTATCTAATCAAATCTATTGAATGGTAAAGTTTAACTTAATTACTTAATAAAGTTAAAAAAAAAAAAAAGAAACATGAGTAGGTCTAAGATATTCCATAACGGCGCCGGTGGTGTAGTGGTAAGCGTGATTACCTCTCACCCCAGCAGGCCTGGGTTCAATCCCAGTCGGCGCCGCCGGGATGTTCTGAGGCATAACATCCCTGATCACGCCTTCCTTCGGATGGGAAGTAAAGCCGTTGGTCTCCGGTTCATGAGTTGATGGGTCGATAGGTAGGGTCCAGGTGTGGGAGCTGCTTTCCTGGCACGTCGGTAGCATTGGTGCTCAGCACGGAAAACAAGATCGAAGGAAAAAATAAACCAAAGGAAAAAAAAAGATATTCCATGTTCAAGATATTGAACATTTTCAAAGTTCCAGAATCCAGGAAAAATGAAATGATTTATTTTAAGTTCGTAATTGTAGGAAATTTGGAGAGGTTCTCAGTAATGAAAAGAAATGCTAGTGTAGCTCCATAAACAAACTGCGGGAACATAAGGGAAGTTAATACGCTGAAAATATGGGGAACTTACAGGAAGCTTTAAGAACCGCAAAGCGGCTCTTTTAGCATCCGAAAATTTTCGGGAACTTTTATGAAGTTCCTAGAATTTCAGAGAACTTCACAGGTGTCAAGCGAACTTGAGAAATATAGAAAACATGAGGGGTATTGTGCAAATTGTTAAGAAGTTCTAAGTACCTCAGAGAAGCTAGATCTAGAGATTTTTGGGGAATTTCAGATCTTCAGAACAGTTTCCGTAAAAGTCCAGACTTTTGGAGCAGTTTAAAGATCTATAATCTTAAATTTAGAAAAAAATCAGAATAGTTGCATGATGTGCTCAAAAAAAAAAATCGAGAGCCTTTAAAATTTTCGGAGAATTTTAGGGAACACAGAGTTCTTCATAAAATTTATGAAAACTTAAGAAATATTTCAGAAACTTCACAGAAGTTCAGAGAATTTCAGGGAAATTTAAAGGTGTCTACGGGAATTCCATTTATTTCCGAGCAGATTCGAGATCTTCATTAGAATTGAGAGCTTTAGGGAAGCTTCGAGAACATCACGACAGATTAGATAATCAAAGGGCAGTTCAAATAATTTATGAAAATTGTAGAAACCTTAAATATGTTTCGAGAAACTCAGAGAATTTCCGGAAACTTCAGCAAAGCTCCGAGAGAAGTTCTGGAACGTGATAAAAATTATATGAACATCCGGAAAACGTGAGAGTATTTTAAGCGTGTTATACTATGGAGATTTCAAGAACTTAAAAAATGCGACAATTTAGCTAAAATGATTAAAGAAAATCAACGGGAACTTTTAGCAAGCAGGGATATCTTCAAGAAATTCCAGAGAACTTCTTATAAATATAGATACTTTTAGATAGTTTCATGATATTCAGCGAAGTTACGAGTACTTCAAGGACGATCAGATTGCTTCAGAATAATTCCATCAACTTGAGAATATTTACAGAGACTTACAAGGAGTTCCGTGGAATTATGGGGTATTCCATGAATTCTATGATTGATCCCAAAACGTCAGAAGCGTCAGGGAATTATGAATATATATCAGAAAATTTGCCGGATTATTAAACAAATTTAGAGAACTTCAGGTAACCGTAGATAAGTTCAGGGAAAATTAGTGAGCGTTTATAATGGTTGTAATACTTAAGGGAAATTGTCGAAACTTCAAGGCAACTCAAACTACAAAAGAACTTCAAGGCAGTTTCATTAAATTCAGGAAAAAATTGGGAACTTTCAAGCAGTTCTAAAAACCTCAGAATGGTCGATTCTGATATCCATTAAAATATTCCTCAACATTTCAATAAAGCTATCCTCCTAATTCAAATTTCTTTAGATTTCCTCGGAATTACCTTGAAATTCTCCACAATAAGAAACCCTTTGGAAAAATTCTACGAATATTCATTGAATTCATTTCAGATTTCATTTTGAATCTCACTCCTTCCCTTGGAATTCTACTCACATTGAAAGTCTCCTAAAAATTCAGTGGCATTTCTCCTCACGAATTCCTTAGATTTCTTTCCATCATTTAATTGGCAAACCCTCCTGAACTTATTTTCCGAATTCTTTTGAAGATGTTCTGGAGTTATTCTCATATTTAATTGTAATCCTCTTTTTAGTATTTTCAAAACAGATTCCAAGGACTTATGCTCCGGATTAATTTTCTCCCACAACTTTATAAAATAATCCTAAGAAGGCCCTTGGAACGTTGCTCTGAAGGAGGTGTGCTCCTCAGTAATTTTCAGAGTTTTCATTAAAATTTGGTTTTCCAGTTTTTCGCAGTTAGTAAACACCCTGGCTAACACCGTAGGTTTGGCCATAAACATTCTATTGAATCTTTTGTTTTAAAGGTTTATACCATACACAAGTGTTTTTGAGATACTTGTTGAATAAGTCTAAAACATCAAAAATTTATTTTCTCTTAGGTCACTTTTTGGTCACTTATTTCTTCAACATGGTCACTATTTTTGACAGCAGTGGTCGCTACCGGCCCTGAACTAGATCTAGAGATCTTTGGGGAATTCCAGAGATCTTAAGCGGAACTCCCCGAAACTTTAGCCCAGACTATTGG